ACCCGTGAGCCGGCAACATCGTAGGTGTAAAACAGAGCAGTCTGAACGGTAAAAAGCAAGCTCAACACCAGGGGTCCCGTGTTGAACTTGGATGGAACCTTTCCTCTGACAAGTTGAGAACTCTCGAGATCTAAACAGGTGACCCATAGCCACAACCGTCGATGACGTTAGAGACGGGCAGACCGGGTAAAGTGTTTTTCTTGTCGAAGGACGCAGGGAAGTTGTTTGCTAACCATATTGATACTCCGCTCCGACAAACGATGCAAAAACCAAGCTCAACACCAGACGTCCCGTGTTGAGATTGGTTGGGCCCTTAACGGGTCGAGAGCTGACTGGAGCAGTTGATCCAATTGAACACATTGCCTCCACCCAGACCATGGGTCCCCCTCAAACCAATTGAAACATTGCCTGCATCCGAGCCAGTGGTCGCAGTTGACCCACTTGATGCACTTGGCACACTGGCTCCACCCGAACCAGTGGTCCCAGTGGACCCAATTGAAGCACTGCCTGCAAACCAATGGCCCCTGTTGACCTAGTTCAGACACTGCCTCCATCCGAGCCGATGGTCCTCGCAGAATGTCAACTGGGTTCAACTGGGTTCAACTGGGTCAACTGGGACACCCTGTTCAACTGTGTCAACTGGGACCACAGATTTACCGGCCCCCTGTCCGACGCACTCAACATGTGGACACCCATGAAAAATCATGTCACTTTCGTCAATGAACACATGATGACTTTGGATGCCACCGCGCGCGTTGTTTTTTCATCCAGCGGGATATTGGGTTCACTAACTTTTTTTACAATTACACAAAGGACTTTGATACTCCTCATGCCATGCAAATTGGTGTTCTGTTGGTTGCTGGGTTTCCTCTAGGAGCAACCGCTGTCTGAACAATGTGTTTTTTCCTGCTCAGGGCTGTTCTTCGTTTGAAGTACGTTGTTAGTGAACACCAGCAGCATATGATCAACTTTTGCCTTTAGCTTGCGTGATTCGTGCGGAGGTCTGCTCAAAACGCCCGACTTCCACTGCGAGCTGTCGGGAGACTGGATGATGTTTTTTTGTGATTGATGTCCGGAGAGTCTCCAAGGAGTTAGCACCAAAATGATGGAAATGGGGAGGCTATGTCTCTCGATGAGGTGAAAAATGACAGTTTCCCCGTTACAGAAGTCAAGTTGTAACAGGGGCCTCGCATGTTGAGAATACATCTGAAGGATCGACACCTTCCTCTGTACTTTGGTGAACAACTTTTTCACTTGCATTTAGTCTGGTTTCAGGGCGCCCGTGATCCCTGATGCCTGGGAGGAGCAGTGTGTCGAACCGCCGGCGGGGGACGAGCCAGGACTCTGGCCAAGTGCTCAGAAATGGGAAGAGTGAGGAATTCTTTCCACAGTTCCAAAGGAGCAGTTGAGCAGCTACTGGAGGTGGTTTTGGGGATCACACCCGACAGAAATTGACGGAACTGGATGGATCTCTGAAGAACAACTTTCTTCCGAAACACGCGTGGCTTTCCACTGCCATGCTTTCCTTTGCACGTGGTGTGTGACAACTTTCTTTGGCACGAAAAGGACACGACGCAACAACCCAGAAGGTAATTCAACCGTTTCTTTGTTCTGAGAAAACTCCTCCGGCGCGAACAGTTGAAAAATAGCGGATCAATGACTTAGAATCCCTTGGATCTTCAGCCCCGCACCTCGCTCTGGCTCGGATGACCAGCTTGGGATGGCACTTTGAATTGGAAACAATCGGGAAACCTCGATCAACTCGTAACACCAAATTTCTTGCAGTGATTGTCCACACCCCCACAAACGCAGGCAAGGCGCCCTCTCAGTTGTGGGCACTGTTTTGAAGGCAAAGG